AGCCTGCCAGCCTGGGATTGCTCCAACCTGGCTCAGTGTGCTGCAGAATGGCTGGCTGGGGACTGAGGCCGCTCCAGTCTGGGGCTAGCTGGTGGGCAGGTCCTGCACTGAAGCACCTTATGCCCCAGCCAGCCAGGTCAGCATCTACACATGTATTGCTGTGCACTAAATAATACCACCATAGGATAGTACTGGTGTTTACAAGTACTAACCTATGGCAAAGTTAATTAATTTCCTGTGGCCTAATAGGGCGCACATATAGATGCTGAGACTTTACTGTGAAGCTAATTCAGCAGCTCTTCAGTAAGCACCTCATGTAGATGTACCCACTGAGTTATACCAACTGAGCATCTGGCCTGGAAGTCTAATTTCTTGAAAGGAATATACTTTATTTCTTCATATATAGCACACTCTGGAATATATGTATACTGTTTTTGAAAAATAGCTTGAAGAAAAAAAAATCCTAGCTTTCACTGCAGGTAAGTAACTGAGTAGCAGCAGTTAGAGAGCCAAGCCTGCTCCTGAGCCCACTGCCAACCCCACACACCAGATGGAGCCTGTGGACTTTTCTGTGTGCCAGCCAGATACAAAGCATGGGGCCATGCCTTCCAGCCAGAGGGCTCTACAAGTGTCCAGAAATTTGGTGCCAGGGGAGCAGTGACAGGGTTAAATGATATGTTTCTGGGTGCCGCAGCAATTAGCGCTGCCACTGCTTTCCCTCTGCCAAATTTCCACATCCAATTTTCCCCAGCTAGTTTTGGGGGGGAATAGTGCATGTTTTAGGCAAAACAATATTGTGTTGGGATAGCAGCTAAACTTTACAGAATATGAATAGCTGTAGTACAATACTGTCCACTAAGTTCTAAACTTGTGAATTGTTTGCCAATGGCACTATGTCTATGTACACCAGAAAACGAGCGGATACTTCAGTATTTGGTGAAAATCGCATAAAGAAGAATAGGATTTTAACAAACAAAGAATAAAACAGAAGAAAGACTTTTTCTATGCATAATGAAAGGGACTTAGTGCTCTGAAAACACACAACCCTGGAACAGACAAAAAAAAGATAAATGTTTTCTGCCTCCAAAAATCATTATTAAAATCATTTTCAACAGATAAACACAACTAAAAACACAATTTCAGCTGTTTCTAACTATAGTAATGATCCCAATCATGGTCATCATAATAGGACCTGATGTTGATGATTTTCTGCCAGGAGTAACATTTTGTCATCAAAATTTAATAGATTAAACACTACTCTGAAAACGCCTTTTTTAACCAGCTGAGGTCTATTTCTCCAAACCAACAAACAGAACATCCACCAGAAACCATTATATAGCCTTGAAATTGAATCCAGCAATTTCATGCCCTGCATATGCACATCTCCCAAATGCCATCTTTCTGTGCTAAATTAATTTAGTATGATTTAAATCAAATTATATAGCATTGAGTAACTAATGTAAACTATAATTTCCTAAAACATTATTTTCTGTCCCCCAAATATTAAGAGCCCACACTACTTTATTGGTTAATTATAATTGGCAGGTAATTTACAGAACAGCAAAAACAAGCCAGTCAGTGGCAACTATCATGAATGGCATGTATTCATTTGTGGTCCTTATCCCATCAAAACTATAAGTGCTTGCATGCAGAGAATAGCACATAATTTAAAAAAAGCATGTGTCCTTCCAATAAGCAAATTAATGAGCATTTCCAAATCATAGCAAGTTATTTACTGCCATACATCTTCCATAATAATATATCAATATGCACAAGGAAACATAGGACATAAGCAAGGCCAAACAATACAAGCTAATGCGGGCCAGTTGAACACCTGGGTTCCATCAGCTACTTATTAGTATCAAATAATAGAATTCTGTTGCTTTTTTGCATGCAGGACTAGATTATTCCTTCATTAACCCTTATGCTGCTGTTATTAGTTTACATCTGTTTAGAATAAATTGTTTGGGCATATACCCCTTCCATTCAGAAATCAAGAGGCAAGTGCCACCTGGACATATCTGACATCATTTTAGTAATGAATGGGCAAGTCTACATGTGCATTAAGGCACTGTAATTACAGCACATTAAGTTTAGTACCTGTAATAGCAGGTACTAATTTAATGCACTGTAATTGGCAATATTGTGCAGTAGCACTGGCGCACATCTTTTATGTGATGCTAACGTGCAGTAGACTAATTGTACTGCGCACTAGCATGGCTTTATCTGTGACACATTTAGCCACAGTAGAATTAGTCTACTGTGCTTTTAGTGCCTCATGTAGACACACCCAGTGGGATTCATATCTTTTGGGAATAAATTCAACAACATCTCTAAGGATTAAAAAAATCTTGCTCCTGGAATTTAATAATCGACCAACCTTTAAAACAAAGCATAAAGATTTGGGTCATTGGTAATACAATGCGCTACCAGCAGCTAGAACAATAGTGACACTTTGTATGGCTAATAAGGATGCTAATTTTAAGCACGCAAAGATACTTTACTATCAGCACAAGTCATATTATATATAAACAGTGGAAGCAGCAGGAGAGATATGTACAGCACTTTATAACTGATACATCTACAAAGCAAAATGAATGTGTACGGTCAGTATTGTAAGGGTCAGTATTGTAACTAGGAATGGGTAAGAGAGGCACCAGCCCTAGGCACTGGCTTAGGAGGGGGTCCAAAATCATCCTCCACCTCCATGTAGTCCACAGCAAGAGAGGGTGTTGCCCTTGCAGCAGCGTTGCTCGCAGCATGCCCACAGTGTTGCTCTTGCAGCAGCAGTCAGTGCACAGACGCCATGCTGCTGCTGCTTTAAGAACAAGGGCTGGGGTCGGCAGAGTGCATGGTGGTGGCAGCAGCAGTAGCAGTCAAGGGCTGGGTGAGAGTCCTTTGCCTTCCCTCACCCCCACTCTCAGAACCCACGTGTGTGCCCTCCCTCCCCCAACACCCCCCCCCCAAACATGGCTTGTTGCATCACTGTGTAGGGTATGCCAACTGTATTCAGCTGTAATAGATGAATACAGTTACCCTGGCAAACAACAGAGATGAAGACTGTTTGGCCCATCCATGTTTTATCCACAAGAGTACAAACTCTCCAGAACTGCAAACCCTACTTTTCATGAAGGCTTCTCAGTAACATTGACCAGCTTCTTTTTTTCCGGCTTCCTATATTTCTACATTGACTTCTACGCTGAATCACTACAGTTTGTTCCAAACCCAATAACACTTTTGCACAGATCCTAGAGGGTCTTCAATATCATAAAAATAAAAAAATATCCCTAAAAATGAAGCATTCCTCCAGATTGTTTTAACACCTTCAGAAGAATTCTGCTCGCTATCTCTCTCTCTCTCTCTCTCTCTCTGTCTCTGATACTAGAAAGAAAAACAATAAAATAAATCTTCAACCCAGAAAGCAATTTTAAACACCCCTTCAAGTTTTCTTGAAGAGAGCCCTTTCTAAGTTCATAGGATCACAGGAAAGTTGGGCTAGAAGGGACCTCATGAGGTCTTCTAGTCCATTCCCCTGCTCAGGGATCCAGCCTAACATTCAATTGCATTGATACTTTCATTGGTGAAGTGGTGAAATATTGGGAAATATTGCTTTGGTGCTATGAATATACAATGTGAAGTACATATTTAACATATGAGTATTGATAGAATCCAATAAGGGTCTTTTTATGCACACTATTCACCTTTTATACCCATTCAGATCAATATTTTAACATTTACTTAATTTTAAGCATCTGCTTAACTTCCATTGGGACTTAAGTTTGTACTTAAGTGTTTTGTTGAATCGCAGCCTTATGAATAAATACCCCAGTTTCATTTATTTGGGAGAGAAGTGATAGCAGTTAAGGGGTCACATCTCCAGAGGTGTGAGTTTCACTCTAAAATCATGATGAAGTTGCATCATGTGAGTGCATAGCTAGTCATCTGGACTGGGCAGTCGAAGGTACCTGGATGTATTGCTAGCTACATCCCCTTTTGTACCATTTGCTACAAAAATGTCCTTAGCCACACCAGTTCAATGAGCCACTAGGCTCAGGAGGATCTTAGACCCTCATATAAATGCTCTGAATCTAGCTAAATAGCCTTTGAAGTTATCACTTATTTACATAAAGGGCATTATCTGGTACAAAAGCTTAGATAAAAAATGATGTAGGACAATACTCAATAGCATAACTAGGGTACCCGGCTGCTTAGTCATCCCTCTGACAAAACCACATTAAATCCAGAAATTCTATGTTTAGCAAATTTTCTGTGTGTCATAGAAGCAGAATTTGTAACCCTCCAAAGCTACAGATATCTAAGTATTTCATAAGTAAGCTTTCATTTCAGCCCTTGGATAAACCTATAGGGATCCATGCTTTGAAAAGTCCACTTGTGAAAACTAATGAAAAAGTAGAAACTATTCTTGAAAAATCCAATTTAATCAAGTCCACATTAAACCACTCACTAACTAACAAACAATCATAACTCACCAGATGACACATTTATAAAACAAAAGACAAGCACAGAAATTTCTCCTTCCAATTTTCCCTGAGCTGCCAAGTAATTTTAATGGTATCTTTATTCCATTTCAGATCCATCTATTCCAACATTTTTTCCCCAACAACACACTTACTAGATTTAAGTAAGAATGCATGTTCAGAAGAAAAAAGAGAAAATTTTGATGTAGGTGAGAAAATGAAGTGTCAGGCCCTTAATTAAAGCAAACCGGTCACCTAATGAATCTGTCACCTAAAGTCCAATGACTTTAGGTGACAGATTCCAGTTTATACTGACTGAGGATCTGCCCTCAGATTTTTAACATAAGAAAAAAAGATATAAAAATCACAGTGCTAATGTCTGTGTTAGTTAAACTAGGTAGGAGAATAAAAGTACAACCTCTAATGTATTAAAAGGGCTTTCACTTACATGGCTGGAACGGAACATAACTTAAACACATTTCTTCATATAGCTTTGCAAACAAAGATAGTCCAAATTCTTACCTGTGCTTTTATTAGTTTTGTTTTGTCTACTCTTTACTTGCTCAGTCCATAATGTAGGGTAACGAGAAGCTATATCTGGAAATACAGCAAAGCACATTTAAATTATTATAATTTTTTTAGAAGAGTATAGTAAATAAACAGTGACTGGCCAATGAACAAAGGTGACAACCTTTTATAGGAATGTCTAACGAAGTAAAGGACTATAATACATTAGAATAGCTAAAATCTTGATTCATAGATCTAGTCAAGGGAAGCATTGAGACAAATAAACAATAACATATAGGTGGCTCTGATATCCCTACTCAGGGATATATTACTCTGCTAGAATTTGAAGTCAAAGGGAACACTTGCAGAGACAGGTTTCATTTAACTTGGATGAAGGTCTTACAGTTTCGCTCCATGATAGTCAATAACTTCGCACCACACTGCAAGAATGATTATAATGTTGTAATCCCAATGACAGAAAAGAAAAGCTGAAATAGTTTGTAGCTTGTATTACACCTCTGCACAAGGCTGAATATTACTCACTGTAAGCAAGCATGTCAGAATTTGGGCCTCAGTGTTTCTAGTTAGAAGGCATGGGGTTTACTGGAGACAGATTGCAGCCTTTAACTACCTAGTCTGGCTGATAAAGCTTTTTAAAAAAAACTGAATCTCAAGTTACAAGTGCCCCTCTACTCTGAAAAGCACCAGTAAAAACATCATTGAAGGATTCCACAATGATGGTGTCTCCATGAAATTTCTATAAGCAATTTCCAAATTTGTTCACTTAATAAAGACAGCTTTACTCAGAGCAGTGCCATTTAGAAACAGGAATGGCAATTTTCACACTTGGGGATACCATGACATTTATGCTCCACTGTTCTGATGTCCTTGTTCTCAGGTAACGCTTATGTTGTGGGACATGGACTATAGTATATACATTTAATGTTACTCTTTTACCATTCCTAAAGGTGCTCACCTTCTTCATCACCTTGAGGCTGAGTCTCCAGCGCGGGAGCTGAGGCATCATCTGAATTCAGAATGGAAAAGATTTGCAAGGAGACTACAATTATGAGAGTAAGCTAAATAAGTGTACGTATATGGTTGATGCTAATGATTTGCACATAGCGCCAGATGGTTAACAAACAATTACGTAAGTATTATAATTAATATACAGTATATATATAGCATATACAATACATATACAATTATGTATGTAAACTACAGATGGGTGACATTTCTGGTTATAAGTGATTACATAAATTAACTGAATATATGGAGTTTGATGAGACATCAGGTTTAGAAGCAGTTAGTTCACTACCTGGCTAAAAATATGCTGTGCCCTGTAGAACCTAATTGATTAAATAAATATGCAAATAAATACGTTAAATAAAATAAATGTACATAGGCATAGAAAAGGCAAAGAAATCAGTCTGGGATGGGTGAACAGATGAGAGAGCTGATGTAGTCCTTCTGACACCCTACAACAAAATAAGAGTTTCTTTTGGCATAAGCAAGATCCATAATTTAAAGGGCCAGAACATTGTTTGCATTGTTCTCATCCTTCTGTCAGCCATTCCCACAACCAATCACCATTGCAAGAGAAGAGGAAGCACAGTGTTCCAGAAATGATAAAATAAGGATAAGAGCAAATCTTCAACACACTGAACTACAGCTCAAGCACTACATACCTAGAAAATCTTAATACTGAAAAATAGTTCAGTTTAGCAAGATTTGGGAAACAGTATATACAGTTCAGTTTCTATCCAAAAACAATTTTTACTTATTAGTATAGATCTGTGCTGTTTACCTGGTTTAACACACCAAATAAGCTATAGTATCTAATAGAACTTAATGGTATATATTTGCCAGTTGCTTGCATTTCTTGGGAGAGGAACTGACCCCAAGATTATGGTGCTCCCCACCAAAAATATCTTCTGTGCATGCAGTTTCTTATAATTTCTTGAAGTCGTTTTTGAATCCCAATCTTGTTCCCCAACATTTGCATTAAAGCTATAACAGAACTTAACTACAAAACTTTCACTTGTATGTTTGTTTGTTGGTTGGTTTTTATGCAACAGTGAAAGCATAATATACTTTTCATTTCATTTTCCTTAGGCAGTGCAACCTAGTAGAGACCTGTTCACTCTTCCATCACCACCACAAAGGCTGCAAGTGTGTGCTGCCTTTATGGAGATAATGAAGAGAAGTAGGAGGCATTCTTTGCTCCTCACTTCATGACCTCATTTTACTCTTCACTGAGTGTGCCGTTCATGAATAACAGATTTATGGCTATTAGATACTCAAGTCCTTTTTTCAAAGAAAAAGGAAGCCAGCAGCAGCACTGGAGGATTCCTTATTCTGTCCAACTAATATATTTGTACTCAAACTTGCAGGGGGATGACTTCTTTTTAAGAAGACAAAGTCATTCATTTTTCATGGTTATTCAGTGCTTAAGTATTATAATGAGATAACTAACAAGAATGTTAGATTTGCTGGGTTTTTTGTAATGTCCTCTGGGAAGTGGGCTGAAACCACCAACTTATCTTAGAGAAGGTATTAAATAAATATAATGAACTTTGAATTCAAAGCCTACTATAAGCTCATCAACCAGCCAAAAACACAAATGAAACTCCTTTCCTGTGGCAATGTAGCTTTATTCATATGGCTGCATCCAAATCTTCCCCTTTTCCATGCCCCATGACTCACAGATGTAATATGAACAGTTGACTCACTTACCCCTTTTCAGGGGCTGAACTCTGTGCTCTGCGCTAGGCCTCTTTCACTTCCCTGTTTGTCACACTCCTCTGGTGCTAGGCCCTCTGGCCCCTGTATCTGCTAACCACTTATGGTGCTGGGTTCTCTAGCCCCAGTCTCTGCACCCGCTTGGCACCAGGCCCTCTGGCCTCTGTAGCTATGCCCCTCTGGCACTGGGCTCTACACCAGGGGCGGGCAATTATTTTGGGCGGAGGGCCACTTAGCAAGTTTTGCCAACCTGTCAAGGGCTGCATGTGTAACCCCGCCCCTTGACAGGTGCCCCGCCCCTGGTCGCCATCTTGGGACTGGAAGTCCCACCCCTGACCTCTTGACCCTTGCCACTGGAAGTCCCTCCCTTTGCCCCTGGAAGTACTTTCAGAGAAGAGGGTTTTTGCTATCTTAGAACCGGAGAAAAAAAAAATTATGTACTAAAAATCAAATACCCATAATATGTCACTGGGAGGCCGAGGGCTTCCAGGGGAGGGCCTGTCAGGCTTGGAGGGTAGTGTGGGAGCTCCTGGAGCCACTGGGGGTGGCACGAGTCAGTGGGCACATGGCCCAGGACATGGAAAGTCCAAGGAGGTGGTGCACCTTGTATTGTGCACCTGAAGATTGGGGTAGCAAAGGCTTGGTTGCCCCACCCCCACAGGTGGCCTGGGGGTTGCCACCACCCCAGGGGAAGGGCCCAGCCCCTCCACACCCTGCAGGGGTCCAGCGGCCTGACAGCAGCTTGCCCCCCAGCCCTGGGACAGGCAGGGAGGCTATGCCAGGAGCCAGAGCAGAGCAATGGCTGTTTTTCTGCTTCAGAAGCTCCTGCAGCTTCCAGGAGGCCGGGGGCCCTGGGGAAGCTCCTGTCCAGTCCTGGGGGCAGTGCAGGGGACCACCTAAGGCCACTGGTGGAAGCATGTGGCCCAGGACATGGGAAGTCCAGGGATGCGGCATGGAAGTTGCATCTTGCTCCTGAGGCATGGGACAGCAACAGCCAGGCTGCCCCCACCCACAGGCATCCCCAGCAGGTACCACCACCCTGGGGGGAAGTCCCAGTCCCCCCTCCCCTACAGGGGCCCAACAGCCTGGCAGCAGCTCGCCCCCCCAGCCCCAAGACAGGTGGGAGGCTACGCCAGGAGCTGGATCAGAGCCTCAGCTACTTTTTTCCTCTGATAGCTCCTGTGTCCTCCTCAATCTTCTTGTGCCCTGGGCCAGGACCCTGCCAGGTTGTGCCACCCCCAGCAGCCTCAGGAGGTGACCCATGCTGCTCCTGGGGCTGGCCAGGAGCTTCCCCAGGGCTCCTAGGCACCTCACGGCCACAGGAACTTTTGGAGCAGAAAAGTAGCCATGGCTCCACACCCGCTCCTGGCGCAGCCTCCCCACCTGTCCTGGGGCCAGGGAGCAAGCTGCCACTGGGCCCCTCTGGGGCAGGGGGCCTGGGCCTTCCCCCCAGGGTGACAGCACCCACCGGAGCCTCCCATGGGGGGCAGCCAGGCTGTTGCTGCCCCAATCCTCAGGTGCAGGATGTAAGTTCCCCACCGCCTCCCTGCACCCCATCCCCACTGGCTCATGCCACCCCCAGCAGCCCTAGGTGGCCCCCATGCTGCCCCTGGGGCTGGACACAGGGGTTGGGAGCCAGCAACAGCCAGGCAGTGCCCCGGGGCCAGTGCCAGACGGGCGCAGAGCAGGCTGGGCTCTATGGAGCTGGGCCAGGCTGCCTGAGAAGGGAGAGAGGGGAGCCACCCTGTCCTGGGCCCTGCCAGCGCTGGCTCCCATGTGCCCCCTCGCTCCCACCCCCCGCCCCAGCCCTGTGGCTAGGCGGGGACCAGTGTGCTCCCAACCCACTCTTACCTTAGCTTCCCACTCCAGCGCGGGTGGGAACAGCCACATGGTCCCTGGCTGGGGGGGTGGGGCGGGCCCTGCTCTTCCAGGGGCCTGGCTTCCGTTGGGTCCTAATGCCTCTGGGTCCTGTCACTTTTGACTGGAGCCAGAGGCAAATAAATATTAATTTTTAAAAAATTTCTCAGGTTGGACAGAATGGCGTCATGGTATGGATCTGGTCCGCAGGCCATATTTTGCCTACCCCTGCTCTACATAATAGGGTGCCCCACCTGCTGGGCATTAATGAGGCCTCCTCCTCCCATTATAGCCTCATCCCAAAACCACCGGTACAAACAATAGCACAAGCATAAGCCTCTGGGCTATAACACAACAATAACAATGGAGGCAGTGTGCTGCCCCTTTAACACAGTAAACTTCCACCCTCCAGGTAGCATACCCCATAGCCCTGAGTATCTTGTGAGCTTTCAGTCTTACTGCACTTGGAGGTAGCAAAGCAGGCAGCAAATTGTCTCGGGTAGCTCTCTTGTGCAAGAGCTTCTTCCTCTGGCCATTGCCAGAGAGAAAAGTGACCTGCTAGCCCCAGCCCTGAGCTTATATGTTCCCTGGGCCCTACCTGCTTCTGGTCATCTGACTGCCTGCATCCCTAGGGGTGGGCAGGGCATGGCATATCAGCCTGTGCGAGGACCGGGGTACACAGAAATATATTTAGAACAAAAGTAAATCAGAAGGTTAAAACCCATTGCAGATAAAGACACAATTTTCTATCTCTGTACTTCTTTAAAAGGATTGTAAAGAGAGTAAGTTTCTCGCTGAGACTAAAAGGAAACTTCAGTCACATATACTGAGAGGGCTTTCCAGAGTTTGTTGGCTCTATGCCATGGACAGCCTTAACAGCTGCCTCACACAACAATTTAAAATAGGATAAATGCTGATCAAGAGCATATTGGCCCAAACTGAGAAACAAGATTCCAAGATAGGTGTGTGTGTGCACGTATGTAGCTATCAGAAGCAAAAAGGAGTCAGCCATGTTTATCCAGGTAAGTGCTGGCTGCTAGTTGGCCTCAATGTCATATTACATAGCCAGATGGTAGAATGTTATAAAACATTTGCCTTCACACTTGATTTTGACCCAGTATATCAGGTAGACCTGGATGTAGAGGTGAAGGCTCATTAACTATCTTCACACTACTCAGCTCTCTGCAGAAAAGTTCACAAACAATAGCACAGATTTCCAAGGCCGAGTCAGGATTTATATATGGTACAATTCATGTAGTTCAAAGCCAAGAATGAAATTCCTGACCCACAGCAAGCTCCCCAGAAGGCTATGGATAATCCAGGGGTCAGCAGTACCCAGAAATCATCTGGAAAATATATGAAGGAAATATTTTCCTTTGCTGATTAAAGTATCTTTTAAGAACTAGTTTTTAAACAGCTACTAATTTTCTTAAAGTAATAACTCAGCTTATACTAGAAGAGCTAAACACTGAGCATAATAAAAATTGCTAAAATTCTTGCAAACACCATAAATCAAACAGATTTACATTAGACCAAACTGCTTTTTCATTTCAATGGTGCAAATATGAAGTAACTCTTTTGAAGTCACTTTACCCAGTGTAACTAAGAGCAGCATTTTATCAAACATGTCCACTTGCCTGAAGATTAACTTTTCCCCTGCTTTTTTTTTCCATCTTAAATAAAGTCTAAAGCACTAGTCCATCTCTCAGACAGCTCCACTAACTAAATGGAGTCACATTAGGTATGAATTTGCTCTAATAGCATCTATTATTAGAATAAAGATACATAAGGATGTATCTTTAATAACAACAACCATCTGGTTATGAAGGTGAGCCATGAGTTGAACTCATCACGATATAGAAAAAATGCCAGGCTTAAGATGAGTCAAGTCCTGGTTGCAGTGGAAATGAAGCCATGGCATCAATTTCCTGGATCTTGGGTGTAGACAAAGCTGACTCTATCAAATAGACAGAATAGTGTCTCTTCCACAGCAAGGAATATTAGGGGAAATAAAACACTTAATAACAGTATATTGGAATGATAGTTATGGGCTGGGAAGATAATTTATACTGCACTTAGCTCTAAGTAAAAAACCATCTAGATCTGGGAATGGACAAATACATATACATATATAAAAATTCATATAAACAGATGCACACAGATGTATACACATATGTTTGTATGTACAGATGTATGTATATACACATATATGTATATACTTACATATGCATATGCATTGATACAGTGTGTCTGTATATATATATGCATATTGATTCATAAAGCATGTGTGCAAGTGACCACACATGTATATCATTTCAAAAGTGTGAAAGTAGTGAAAAAAAGGGCCTCAAAGCGCACAAAGATATTAGTTTCCACATTTAAATAAAATATACTTTTAAGATATTTACCTGTTTTTCCCGCACCTTCTCGTGGTGGCAATTTGTCAGTTACAGAACCTGGAGTGGAAAAAAAAAGTTAACAGCTTGGCTTCTCACTGACACTGTCAGGTGTTAATGACTTCTTCTCAGCCAGAAATGCTAGAAACGTCCTCTTTCATATACCAATAGATTTCAGCTTGGCCTGGTACCAGCATTTGTTCACTATTAACTTACAGTGAGGTGCTTCTTTTTGGTTATCAACGGACATAAAAAAGAGAAAACTGTGTGTAGGAAAGTAATACACGTGCAAGCACACATTTATGTGCAGCCCAATCATATGCCCACCATCATACAATCAGATCCATGTAGTGGATCCTTCTACCCATTCAAAACTCTGTTGACTTCACTGGGACTCTGCATGGGTATAAGTGTTTTCTCATACATAGCTCAAATTGAAGAATACAGCCCCTTCTATACACAATTTGCTCACTACACTAGTCACAGTTCCCTGATTCTCAATCAGCTAGCACCAGTGCAGGTTAAAGAAGCATCTGTTGAGCATAACGTACGGCATGCCAAGGAGCCTTATGCTAGTGGAGAAACAAGCATAGCAAAGTCTGACTTCTCCAGAATCTCTCCCCTCCCCTTTGCAATGCTTCATTCCCACCTTCAGTATGAGCTTTTTCTGCCTTTGCAATGGAGACAAAAAAGCGACTTTCACTGGCTTTTTGCCGGTACATAACAGCCAAGCTTTCAAATACCAATGCATTTAGATAGTATCTGCAAACGATGTCGTTCATGGATCAAAAAGTAATTCATTGTGGAGCAGAAGGCTGAGGAATACTAAACTGTAAGCTGCATTGTACTATCTGTCTTATCTTGTAACAACTTTGTTCTTTGTTTCCATTTACACTTAAGTTTATTGAGTACAAGTCTTCATTTTTTCATGAAATTTTTGGAAGAAGTTTTGTGATAGCAAAAATTTAGTGAAACTGAAAACTGCTGGGCCAAAAACTTTCTTGAGTACTTTTGTTCAACCACCCCACATTATAAAAAGTAGCAGAAATCTTGCCTGTGGAAATGATATATGAGCACTGAATGTCTTGAGAAACTGATTCCCCATGAGATAGAGAAACGTTTGATTATCAGAGTGACCCCTCTAGGCTTTAAAATCTACGAATTTATGAATCTGCAAATCTTTTTCCCTAGACTAATGTTTGAAATTTATCCCAGATGAGTAGTAGCAAAATATCACTGGTAGCAAATGAGGCAAAGATCCTGTGCAAAAATAAAGAACTGTAGGTTATCCCTTAATTTCAGGTGAATGTAAATGGGACCAAAGTAAGTTTGCATGGAAAGCTTTAATGCTTTCTTTTTTCATTTTTGAATGTTTGATATTGCAATCTAAATAATGTTCTCTTAACACGATTCTTGTAATAATACTGCAATATGTGAAGAGAAAAACTCAAAATTTAAAATCTAAAATTAGACTTTAAATGATACATAAAAGGAAACATAATCATCCTGTCATGACATAAATTTATAACCAATACCATTATACTGGAGTAGGTGGGCTAAAATAAATGTATTTCATGCTGCAAAATGCTATCTGATTGCTCAAGTATAACGTTTTAGACTTAGGCCCATGTTAGGGTTTCTCTGAAATGTCATATAATAGCTACTGCTGGAGAGAGGGTATACCAATGCCTGGATGTACTCTAGTATGGCAAATCTTGGCATCCCAATTTAAATACAACAATATGGACAGTTAATGAGACAACTGGAAATCATAACTGCTGCACTTCGGTTAGTGTGGTATTATCACCAAATATGACTTCAACAGGAGCAGAACGCAGCCCAAAGAAGACTGAAGGGCTGCGTCTACACATGCAAATGCTCCGGGGTGGATTTACTATAAAGTAAACCCACCTAGGGCAGGGGTCTATGATGTGGGGAAGCAAGAGCAGATTTACTGCTCATGGCAGCAATCTGGTCCTGCCCCTGCTGACCCAGCACTGGGCCCCCTACAGCATCCAGGGGGAGCTGTAGGCTCCCCCTGGGTGCTACCCCGGAGGCTGGCAGGGAGCACAGGGCCAGGAGACAGTTGTCTCCTAGAGAGGGCTGGGAGATTGCTCCCTGCCCACCCCCGCCACCCCAGAGCTGCCTGCTACCAGGGCGGGCTCTGGTGGTGGAGCCCAGGTGGGGACAGTGTCCCCCTGTCCTGGCAACAGGGAGCTCGTAGTCAGAGCTCCCTGACTGGGTACAGAGGGCTTGGAAAGAGCTGCAGGAAAGGGGCAGTTTCCAGCCCCCTGCTCTGAACTGCCTGTGAGGCAGCTAGCAGTGATCCCCTGGCTGAGGCAGGGGGCTGGAACCTGCCCCTGACCTGGACCGTTCCCAGGCAGCCCTGGGCTGCACAGAGAAGTCTCCATATGCAGCCCACAGCTAGCTGGGGACTGCCTGAAACAGGAAAGTCCCCAGCCACAACCAAGCTGCATGTGCAGGCTTCCCCATGCAATCCAGGGAGGACTGCGAAGTGCCCTGGCCATCCCTGCTAGCTCCAGGCTGGGCAGGGAACTCTCCCTGTGCAAGGAGCTCCCAGACCCCACTCTGTGATCGGAGGTATATTGTTATACCTTTCTCTGCAAGGCTAAGAATCTCTTTATTTCCCAGTATATTTCCCTGCAAATAAATATATGCAAGACATATCACAACCTCTGCAGTAAAGAAACATATATCCTGTCAATTCTTGCCAGCTAAAATGTTATTATCCAGGCCAGTAGTAATGGAAAAATATTACCCT